TAAGGAGAAATATTAGGTGCCCTTGTTAATGTACTCTGAAGACGGACCGAGTTTGGTCCGAAACGTCAGAAGTCTCTAATTAAAGAACATTTTATGCGTGCTCTTCCCGTTTGTGACTTACCAAAGGATTATATATATATATACCTAAGAAAATTTAATTCAGTATATGCTGTTGCAATAGCTAAGTGAATACTTAACGTTATGTCTGATGTTATTTTTTATTGCTCATTACGTTCAGATGCCTGTGCTTTTTGAGCTTGTCAGTCGTTTGTGTTTCTTTGGCGTTTTCTTGCTTATGTCGCTGTGGATTCATCATCAGATCGACGCATCCGTTCCTCGCCCATTTATGGACGAGGAATTCCACGTGGATCAAACAAAGCATTACTGCTCGAACGACTTTGGCTACTGGAACCCGAAGATCACCACCCCTCCGGGATTGTATTTGGTTTCTTATGCCTTGCTGCGTTTGATAAGCAGTATCACAAATTTGCCAACAGTCTATTTGTGCACTGTTTCGGTACTTAGATTACTGAATATCGGATTAGCCGGCTTGTTGTATTTGACAATTGTGGCTTTGCAACGATCGATCAATCATCAGTTGTCCGCCAAGGACAGCGACAGGGTTTTACTGACGGCTGCGAACGTTTGCATGTTTCCCATTCTGTACTTCTTCATTTTTCTTTATTATACCGATCTTCTGTCTACCTTATCGGTGTTGGTCATGTACCTGCTGCTGCTATATGACCGGATTTGCCTCAGTGCCATGACCGGTGGTTTGGCTTGCACGATGCGCCAAACGAACATAATTTGGTGTGCCTTCTGCTGCGGTATTACCTTAGTAGACAGGTTCAACCAGAGGCTTAAAGGTCTATCACGTTTGGAACGCGAATCGCAGCCGACTAATGGAGACTGGTTGAAGATGATCAGGACAGCAGGATTCGGCGACGTGGCAGAAGCATTTCTCAGATCTGTGATGGAGTTCGTTCCGTTCATGGCGCTTGGCCTCGCTTTCAGTGTCTTCGTCCTCTGGAATCATGGTATCGTGTTGGGAGACAAAGGCGCACATCAACCCTGCTTTCACGCCGTCCAACTCTTTTACTGCGTAATGTTTCTGGTCATCTTTGCATTTCCTGTCCTCTTCTTGCCTCGTCATTTCTTCAGTTGCTTGCAGCACATCGTGCGGCATCCGGGAGCCTACGCATTGCTCTGCTGTGGAATTGCGCTGGCAGTTTATGCATGCACGTTCGAGCATCCCTACCTTCTGGCCGATAATCGTCATCTCACGTTCTATGTCTGGAGAAAATGGTTCAAGCGATACGTCGCTGCTCGATACCTGCTTATCCCGCTGTACGTCTATGGATTTCACGCTGTGTGGATGTCGCTGTCTCGTCAGAACAGCTTTTGGCGCTCGGCTTACTTCGTAGCCGTCGCTCTGGTCACCGTACCTAACCGACTGCTTGAATTACGTTACTTTATAATGCCGTACGTATTTTGGCGTCTTCACGTGCCCATTCTGTCCAAAAAACGACTGGTTGTGGAACTGCTGTTTTACACAGTTGTAAACGCAGGCGTGATTTGTCTGTTCTTGTTCAGAACGTTCAAGTGGGTCGGAAACGACGACACTCAACGAATCATGTTTTAACCTAGTAAACAGGTTATTTAGTTCTGTACAAATGTTTTTTTAAATTTTAAGTACTTAAACATACAATATCATCATTCCATCGTCAGAAAGAACACTGTCAATAAAAAGCAACAGACAGAAGACAACTCTGATGTTTTGGGATAGCTACCACGTTGTGGCTTTACGAAACCACTGTTTAAATTTCTCATACTGGATTTACTCAGCGTATTCGCACTGCCCGCTTGACTGTACCTCAGGTGATCATTTACAGAGGCCAGGGCTCCATGGTATTTTGGCACCTGGAATGTTTTGGATGCAGGGCCTAATCACTAATGGAACAGGAACAAGGATGCTTTGGCTCATCAACCAAATCTGCCACTGGTAAATATATATAGAGAATATAACCCTGATGCTTTAGGATTGCTACCACAAGCGGCAGATTTAGTGGGTGTTCGAAAGCGTGCTTGTTCAGCCCAATTCAATGCACTGCAGATGCTAAACTGCCAGGAAGTGGTAGCCTGTTTAAAAGGTGTGCTGATAAACTTGAAGCAAGGAAGTGATCAGATTAGGCTAAGAAAATCTGGCATCAGATATTGAAATGTAGCAAGTAACAAATTTCGGTATGATGGGATTAATACAGACGGTTGTCCCTAATCGTACCATCGCTACAAATCTTGTTGAGAGCGCCGTCGAGCGCCAATGTCGAAAAAAATCAACAGCAACTGATCGTAAATGCTTTACCATAAGCTGTTTGGTATCCTCAGCCAGGCGTCAGCAATTTCGCTATGATTTTAATAACGGGTCCATAAAGGGTAAAATGATATTTCTAATGGCAGAATTTTGTTCCAATCTACTTACGAACCATAGTAACTAGATAATTACAGATGTCGTTGAAAGTTACAATTTGTATTTTTTGTAATATGTAAAATATTACTGTTTAACCACTGCTACTGAATTCATGCACTATATCACAGAACCATAAGAAATGAACATTTAGTTCATGTGGTAGCGGTCATACTGAAAACATCGCAAAATACGGTTGATTTATACACATCGCAAAGAATTTAGTCGGATGACTGACCCAGTAGTGACGTTTCAACTCATGTCTGACGAGCCTTTTTAAAGGTTAAAGAGGTTGGTTGACTTCAAAAAGCCTTTTTGTTGGCCGCAACTGTTCTGGCGTTAGGAGACAGAAGGCCTCTCTATGTTGAAGCTGAACAGTGAACTCTACTGGTACTAGTCAGTCATCTAATTAAACAAACTGAGTATACATACTACGCATTTTATGCTGTTTTCAGAATCATAGGAACAGAGTATGAAATATAACTGTTAAGTACATGGTAGAAGATGCTATACGGAAACATTAAACAGTAACAAGGAATAACATGCAGATGACGTGCAAAAAACTAACGCTGCACGGCTTCTCAGTGTTTTTGTTTCACAACCTGAATCAATCGAATCAATCATCCTGTTCAACGAGCGTACCGTAAATCGCTGTCATTTGCGTTCACAATCGCAAGACCGTCATCGGCAATGATGAAATCACGAAAGATAAACAAAACGTTGGGGCAATTTGTCGTAATCTTTTGCTTAGAATGTCGATTAATCGAATCCAGCCATGGACCAAAAGATACTACTTTATATTTAACCGGACACAGGATCAAAATGTTTATAGTTTGAAGCATTTAATGAATTTGGTTTATCAAATGCTAACTTAATATCTGCTACTCTACACGTCCTACTCTTGAGATGTAAATATGTTGTTTCTTAAGTGAACTGTAAATCAGTATCATGTGCCCCATTCGTTGTTTCATCAATTAGTCAGAGACGAAATTTCATATTTCATGCCGTTAGAAATGTATCGTTTCATACCGACAGAAACTTTACAGCGAAACAGACTGTTTCTTTAGCTGTTTTATCATTACTTTAATGTTTGTCTCGCCTTAATTACAAAGTCACTTACAAGCATATTATTGTTAGTGTTCACTGTTGCTATCATTATCTAAGGCTAGCAACAGAGCTGACGAAATGTTTGACTGGCTTAAAATGACTTATAAGACTTATTTTATGCAACATTCGCTGTTGCAGCAAAAATCACGTTTCCTTTCCTTGTAAGTAGTCGGTCGAAAGAATTTCTGCAAGCAGTGGACTACTACAAAACGTGAATTTGAACAACCATGCCGGAACATAAATGACTGCGTTTTCTTAAACAAGTGCGTTTATTTTGCCATTACTGAATTTGAGCAGTTTCAAATATCTAATACCAACATTCACATTACCGTCTAGTATCGGTACAAGTCCGACTTGTAAGGACCATCAACGCTGATGCCAAGGTAGTCTGCTTGACGAGGACTGAGTTTTGTAAGCTTCATGCCGAGTTTACCAAGGTGCAGCCTGGCAACTTCTTCATCGAGCTGAAATTAATGAGCAACGTCACACAAACTAAATGGTAGTTTGTTACGAATACAAGGTAATAAGCTTCTTTAAAAATATCATATTTATTACACTACTAAATAAACACCAGCAAAAATCTTACAGTTTTTGGAAGTACATGCACCCCGACGGGATACTGTCCCGGTTTTGTCCAAAGCTCGATTTGAGCTAACGTTTGATTGGTGAAAGAATTGCTCATGACAAATGATGGGTGACCAGTCGCACAGCCAAGGTTGCAAAGTCTTCCTTCAGCCAACAAGATGATGTGGTTACCATTACTCAGTAAGTAGCGATCGACCTAAAAATTTCTGGTAATGCACAGCTTACCAACAGGATATTTACAAATTATATTAAAAAACTACCAAAACACGTGACGTATACGGGCTGACTATTCGCTTATACAGCTTTTATTGTCATACCGTAAATATACAAAAACCTTATTGGAACTGACCAAATCCTGGCAAAATTGACAAATTTCAGTCCTTGTCTGTCAGACATTTTTTGAGATACACTCGCTGTGCTATATCATTTTTAGTCTTTCCGGTGCAATAGAGATCGATTGGGGTTAATGATTTTTTACATCACAAAAGCGGTATGCATTTTGAAAGTTTGTGAAAAACAGACCAAACGGAAATGTATGGATGTATCAATCAAATAAACGTACCGAACCATCCATTACTTGAGCGAACGCTTCTCAAACGCGAACGCAAATCAATGCTCCTTCAATTTTCAGCCTTTTTGGCGAGTGCTTCTTCAGCATTTGGGACGCAACTTTCAGAAACTTGCCGGTAATTCTCAAACCCTCATTCAACCCAATGAGTAAGTGAAGATTTTCTGAGATTGTGGTCACAGACAGATATCCTGACGAATGTCGGACAACAACCATCTCAACCTACCAAAAAGGGCTCCTGCACTCCTTTCAGGCCCGCACATTATCATAAAACAGTATCATCTTGTGTTTAAGGCAAACAAGCTTTACACAAAATGAAAACCTCAAGTTGTGCAATAAACATTGGTACGATGCAGGTACGTAGACATTATGAACGAATTAGTGCTGAAGAATAAAGAGCATATTTCATGCTCTGGTCGGGACGAGGATACCCACAACGACAAAAACAAGTGCCACACTAAGGTCGTTTTCATAAATTTGAGAGCCTCCCTTCGAACTTCGCTTAATAAGCATTTATGGATGGACGGGAAGATATGGATACTCGTGCAACGTTACAAGACAGCTGAAACATGCTAACCTGAGGCTTGATATTCTCTTTGGCCACGGCATTCGCGTTTAGCCACTTTACGTCAATTTCGATGTCGAAATGTCCGACGTTGCAGACAATAGAATCGTCTGGCATGTTTTCCATGTGTTCTCCGCGGATGACGTCGATGCAACCAGTTGTGGTTACGAAAATACTAGCCCTAGGTGCGGCTTCTTCCATAGTCGTCACTTCAAAGCCTGGACAAGAATAACGATTAAGAAACGAGGCAACAATACGATAAAGTAAAAATGTTTCAACTAAAATCTGCTAACCTTCCATTGCCGCCTGCAAGGCGTTGATAGGATCGATCTCCGTAACCAGTACCCTAGCACCCATACCACGCAAAGCAGCTGCAGAACCTTTGCCTACGTCGCCGTAGCCACAGACGCAGCACACCTTTCCGGCGACCATGACGTCCGTGGCTCGTTTGATGCCATCGACCAGCGATTCTCTGATACCGTAGAGATTATCGAACTTGCTCTGAAAAAATAATTGGTGTAATTACTGACCACGATCTGCCGTTGTTACACCTTTGTAACCGAGTCATTGACGTTGAACGCGGGAACCTTCAAACGGCTGTCGCGGTGCATTTTGATTAGGTTGTGAACACCGGTGGTCGTTTCTTCCGAAATTCCCCTGATTCCTAGAGAGACGATTAAAGTGCAAAATACAAAACAAAACAAAATACGTAAGAAACTACCTGGCAGAAGTTGAGGGAACTTTTCGTGGACGTGTTTGGTCAAGTCGCCACCGTCATCCAAAATCATGTTCAGCTGGGAACCATCAGCGAAAAACAACGTCTAAACTAACCAAAAGCTATGGCAATAATCATTTAAACTGTTTGAAATTTAGCATTTACTTCTGAATATACAATTTTCACAGTGTGAATCAACTCACATGATGGCATTATCATAAGAGTCATTAATTTCATGACTGATCAACAGTTCCACCAAACAGATCTTGCCTATATGCAAATGGTAAACTACATGGAAGATCTGTCA